TGACGATGTATACTACCGGCCAAAAGTAGGCTACCGGAGCCGAGCGGCTGCCGCAAAGTCCGAGCGGAGCCGGTCGGCTTCACAACTGCTTGAATTACAATTAAGAAACTTAACTACTTTGTGGATGTTTCAATTTCCTTCAACAAAATGTAAAATGCGTTGCGCTCTGACGCGCACCTGTAAATGAGAATCGTACATAAAGTAGACAATTGATATTTTCACAGAATATACACTTTTGCGTAACAAAGATAAAAATAAATGTGGTCTTTATGAGTCTTGTAAGAACAACTTTCAAGAATACAGCAGACAATGCATTGCTCTGTTTTCCCCGTGTGATAGATTAAAATATCGAGAATGTTGATGTGGAACAAGTTAAGGCTGCTTTCTTACAGAAGTGGAGCTGCATTGAGCTGAGAAGTCTTAGAAAATAAACCAATAGCATCGCTCAATAAACTTTGTGTGTGTATTTTGAGCCAATTGTGATCAATGCCATTGGTAAATTTCTTATTTTATATTTTGCTTCTGTGAAAGGGCAGCCTAAGTAACGGACATCGAAGGACTGTTGAAAATTGTTCTCGAATGGCGACCGCACACCGGACGATCGACGTTCAATGGGTCTCTGGACACCCCTTAAAAGAATACCGACAATTTGGTGAAGTGCATAAGAAGCCGGAGTAGGGATCCTCCTACGAGTTTTATAAATAAGTATCGTAAGGTTTATGTTACAAATTAATTAAGGTTTGCACTGTCTACTATATATCAGTTTATAAATAAATACATCAGGGGGCATGGTAGTGCCAACGAAGTACTATAAGATCGAAAAGTAATGAACAGAGAATAATATTTCACCTTACGCCCATGTAAATGTAGCGTAATGGCCAAACCACACAATTTGACTAGGATGTTGAGTTTATAAAGTTAGACCTTGTAGATTTGGACTTGTAGGTATATAGTTAGAAGATTGGTTCTTTAAGAGATCTGATAACTTTTTGTCAGTGCGAGTGTTATGGTTTCGACTAGGCAACATTTTGCATAAAAATGATTTTGGTGGGACAAATAATTTTAACACACACTAATTAGCCTAGCCCCAAAGAAAGCACCGTAAGGCTTGTGTTATGGGGTACTAGGGTAAAAGAATTGACAAACTGATACATATAGTTAGATTTATTAGCCCAATGTACACCTGTGAAATTTCGACCAGGCATTTGAATCGATGCGCGATACAACTCGCGTCGCGATATAAACGACAAAAAATTGCTCCGTAGGATAAAGCCGTCGGCGCTCGTTTTTAAAACCCGTAACGCGCGTTGCATATGCCATGGGTAACGCAGTCTTATCAAAATAAAATTTTGATTCTATATTAACTACTAGTGGCCCGCCCTCGCTTCGCTTCGGTGTAGAGCTGTAGTGTAAACTATACTTTTTGTTCTCAGGCTTGTGCTATAAAGAATGACTTTATTTATATAATTACACGTGTTATTGTGAGTCAACCATAAAAGATAGACATATGCTGTTGCGGGATATTTTTTAGACAATTTTATCCTTACACGCCTGAATAGCTCGCAGATTGCAGAATTTTTTCAGACTTAAATGACATTTATCGTTATATTTTGGACAATTCACACAATATCTTTATAAATTATAGCCCATGTGTTATTCTGATCTATAAGCTACATTACTGTAAAGTTTCATTAAAATCCGTTTAGTAGTTTTTGCGTGAAAGAGGAACAAACATCCATCCATACATCCATCCAAACAAACTTTCGCCTTTATAATATTAGTAAGGAAGTAAGGATAATCTAACAAACAGACTCAACAGCTCGACAAATTTCTATGATTCGACACTCGACCATATATCTAGATTACATCAATTCTGCGCTATTCTTTTGAGAATACAAAGTGATGAAACTATTGTACAGATCTATTTTAGGCGGCTTTTATTTTTGTACGGATAAATTTTATTGGTTTACATACTAATGGAGTACTGAATACTTTTTATTAATTCAAATAGGCACACAATAGGTTGACAGCCGTATGGTACTGCGTATTTGTGAGGTAAAGTTTATTTGAAAGACTAAATCATAATCAAAGTGTGGTAATATAAACTGTCCAACTTTAAAATATACAGGTGTCCCAAAACTTTGCCACACTGAGAGAAAGAACCTTTACCAAAACTGTAGATAGAAATTTTGCTGAATGAAGACTTCGTTTTCATTTTGAAAACAATATGATCTGCAATAAAAGTAAAATAACAATCCCTTGTATTAACCGGGAATCCAACCCACTGAACGTGAATAAAAAATACCAGTTTTTTTTTCTCTACAGATCAAGTTTGTGAGTCCATGGCTCCACAAGATAGAATATTGGGCTTCGTTTGGCATAGGTATCAATCTGTCAAATTAAACTAACTTTGTTCCACAAATGCCAAAATGCTCTACAACGCAGACTTACTTCCATACAGAGTTTCTTGTAGCAACATTTTAAAAATAATATCTAATAAGCCTTTATATTTTATATATAAGAGCTTATATATATATACTATTTGAATCAATGAAACCGTTTTTTTAGTAAAAAATTAGTATAAATTTAATCAAGGCAAGGCAAAAGTTTAATGGCGAACTTTTGGCACCCAATGATCATACCACCATCCATAAAACTGAGAGAGTTAAGATTTGCTTAAACTTTCATGTGCTCAAAACGAATCGAAATCATACGAAACCATATCCGAAGTCTAAGGTCCGTATTACAGAATGACAACTAAGTGTTGATCTTTACTTGAGTACAGTTAGAAAGGGTTATCGCTATGTGTAGCGACATCCCTTTCTAACTATGCTCAAGACTAGATTAATCACTGAGAATCTTTCTATAACACAGGCCTAACTGCCTAATGTAATTGTTGTCAAAAGTGCCCCAGGTGACAACAAAGCAATATTTTCTTTACAAAACAAAGTAACATGATCACTTTCAATATCCTCGATTTCTCTCGGGAAATTATTAAAAAAAAATACTATCAACTTTCTTTCGACTCATATATCAGTTTATTATAGTAGGTTGCAGAAAAAGTTTCTTCGCATTTTATATGAGAATTCAAAACATTTTTTCATAAATTATACTTACATTCAACTAAAGTATGTAGGTGCCATTTTGTTCAACAACTTTTAGCCATCTTGTAAATAGGGACATGATCCCATTGATATAGAAATTTTGGGGCTTCTGATCAAAAAACTGCGACTAGTGGTTTTGGCAGTCCTTTCGTGATGTTAACTTGACACTGCTTAAATAATTCTGAAGAGACCGAAACAGGTGGAAATCTGATTGTGCAAGGTCAATTGTCAAGGATTATACGGCGGATGTATTAACACCTCCCAGTCAAACTGTCTTAATTTTTTGCTGAGTGGGTAAGGATGTGTGAGGTCTAGCGTTATTATGATGGAAAACCACACCCTTTCTGTTAATTAATTCCGGCCACTTTCTCTCAACTTCTTGCTTTAATCTCATCAGTTGTTCATAGTAGAATCCTGTCTGGTGGTAACAGCTCTTAATGAATATTGCCATTCCAATCCTACCATACACACAGCATCACCTTGTTGCGAGTTAACCCGGGTTTCGCCAGAGAACACTGACCAGCCTTGTACCACGACCTTTTTCGCACCTTTTTGTACGTGATCCACGTTTTATCACCAGTTATCAGCTTCTTCAAAAATGTTACGGTTTCATAACGTCGTAATAAAGAATCACAAATGAGTACACGGTTCATTAGGTTTCTTTCAGTGAGCCATGCTACCCAGCTTTTGTCAAATGCGTCAAAACTGTTTTATGGTCAATTCCCAGTTCTTCAGCTACATCGTAACTACTAATATGCCGATCTTTCTCCAATTTTTCAAAAATGGCATACATTTTATCCGCAATAGCTCCGCAACCAGAGCGACGTGCAACTTTGAAATCAAAATATCTGGATTGAAAACGCTTGAAACAAATTTGTGCTACTCTAACAGACACTGCAGTAGGTCCATAAACATAACAATTTTTTTACGTGGCTTGCGTTTAATTTTCACCTTTTTTGTACTAAAATTTAAAATATATCGAATTTCTTGATTAGATTCACTCATCTTGACAGTAAGATAAACAAATGAAAATCATACAATTTCCAAGTTAAGTTTGAAATTATCTTTTTTAAACTTTTTAATGATAGCAAAACCAGCCAGATACATATGGTATAGCCAAAGAGGTTTTATTACAAGTTCATACTAATGATAACTAATTATAATGCGAAAAGACTTTCCCCAACCTTTTATTTTTCCGACATATGCAGGTACCCTATTTTAACTCTGTATTAATTAAAACATGCATGAAGGTGACGATAAAATATGATATAAGAAATATGCGTAAATTAATCTGTACAGTACCCTTAATTCGAGTTTGAGCTCACGGAAACTATCATAGTTTTCGTAATTGTAAGATATGTTTCTATGTACCTTTTGGTGTAAAGTAACCAAATATACTTAAAATATAAGAAGACACAAATGATTTAATGATAGAATTTAAACACTGTTTATTTGTATTGAAACTAAAACAATAAAATCAGTACCCTTAGTACGAGTGCAAGCTCATGAAAACTATCATAGTTTTCGTAATTGTAAAACTTAGGTACTAGGTACTAAGTACTTAGGGTACAGTAGACTATACAAAAATCCTCACTCGGATAATTATTAAACATCAAGGTATAATGCGTGCCTCGTAGAGTAAATAATAGAAAAATGTAATTATTTTTATCACAATATCAAAAAAGATACATCCCAAAATCTGAGATTTGATAGAGATAGATATTCCTTATCTTACATAATAAATTATTATTATATTATTCGATAAATGAAAAAAGTGAAATATAAAAAGAAAGTGGCGTTCACAGTAGGGTTTGGGCAATCTCACACATATCTACAATGACCAGAAAGAAACCTCTAATTGTATTTTTATTAAGGCAGATTTTCTCTTTGTTTCAGGTGAATAATGGATTGAACATCATTAATTTACAACAACAGATAAGAGAACATCAAAAATGTACACGAAAATAATCGTGGGTTTTATTGTGACTGTATTTATATTAAGCCCTGCTACGAGCGTTGAAATTTCCAAGAATCACGAATTGATTGTAAACAGATATCTTAAAAACATAGATCATAGTAAAACAACTCATTTGTATAGTAAACAAACATCAGTAAAAACAGATGGTAGCTCTAATATATATATTCACCGGTTGGAACAGCTGAAAGGTAGTTTTGAGAATAACAAAACGGTGGAACGCTTTAAAGATGTAAACAAAGATGAAATTAAAATTCATCATGAAATACGGAAACGTACAATAGATATAGATTACAACGATTCGGATAAAGAAAACGGTGACATCGAAACTGATGTGGAATCAGAGAAAGCAAACATGACACCATCGGAAGATTGTGTTGGCTTAGCAGATTACTGTAACATGTCGAAAGAGGAATACGTATCCATGTTACAAGATTATATATACCCTCAGACGTATGAATGGGTACTTATCGCTACACACACAACAGTTTTTATAATAGGGTTAGTGGGCAACGCTTTAGTATGCATTGCGGTGTACAGAAATCATACCATGAGAACAGTGACGAATTATTTCATTGTGAATTTAGCAGCTGCAGATTTTATGGTGATATTATTCTGTTTGCCTCCCACTGTGCTTTGGGATGTCACGGAGACATGGTTCCTTGGCAACACGTTATGCAAAGTCCTTCTCTACTTCCAGGTAATTGATATTTTCAACTTCTAAGAACTGCGCAACCTTCTTATTCAAAATCTGTTAAACGTTGATAAATTTTATATCACATTTTCACCCCTTTTGTGAAACTTACTTTGACAGTCCGGTAGCGAAGTCAATTTGAATTAATTATCAGTTAATCGGCTAAACTCACGACTTCATTAAATTATCTCTTTTTACTATTCATTTTTTAGTCAGCAACGAATTGGTCAAATTTCTTCAACAAAATTTAGGATCAATTTCGCTTGATATAATATTCTCAATCGGTTTTACAAAGACATTTTGCGGTAACTTGGTTGGTAAAACATACAATCATGATATGCGTTGGCATTAGGACATAAGAAATCTGTTATTTTTTCTATTTTTATCACGCTCTCCCCCGTAAAGTTCTTATAACGGGTTTCGTTATTTGTGCTTGCAGGTGTCGAACAATAATATTGATATGTTACAGGAAGCCGGTAAACCTGAAGCCTGCAAATATTTTCTTTACTGTGGCGTTATCCTGATATTATATCGAGTCAATATGGGAGTTAACAGGAAAACGCTTGAAGATTTGCTTTTCTGAGCCATTCGTTTTTCCTTTAATCAAATCGAAATAATATTGTTATCATTAACTAAAGGCCACCAAAAATAATAAAAGAAGGTCGAAATAATAAAATTTCCTGTTATGAAGTCCACAACCGCATACACGCACATATAATAATATACCTACATATATAGGTAGAACATGTGTAGGTTTCTAATCAATGGCTTAACGTTTAATATAAAATATATAATTAAAAAGCCAAAGCCAACTACTTGTTATTTGCTAATCCGAAATAAGATTAACCCAAAGGTTTGCCTCTATTTGATAGATAATAATATTTCTAGATTTGTCAAAATAGCAGTCTGATATTTAGGTTTCAAAGCTAAACAAAAACACAGAATATACCAGCTATTTACTTCTTCGTAAATACATATAGTAAAAGGATATCAAACGACCGACAGGGCAACTTTGAATCATTATCTTCAGCCTATTAATATCCCCACAGCTTGGGCACAGGTCAGATTGAAGGGTGCTAACTACTGCAGATACAGCAGGGCCCAATGTCTTAACGTACCTTGCGAAGCACGGAGAACCTCTAGATTATCATTTTCGACTACCATTCCAATGACCGACTATTGTGAAATTTGCTTAATTTTCATAATCGCAGGCCGAACGCGTTAATAACTTGCGGCATCGAGCTCCTCCTTTAAATAAATTAAGGTTTAAACAGTATTTTCTATCTCATTTTTAGTAAGAAAAGGTGACAATATTAGTTTTATGCTTATCCCACACCTGCGTAGCGAAACTTTGGTACTAAAATGCCCAAGAGTTGGAACTTTGAATTAAGTACACTTGCTCCTTCAGCTGCACATACAAATTTATCATTTCCCACAAACTCTTTTATGCATGTCAAATTACCGCCAGTCAAGCTATCGTCTAGCGTCTATAGACACACCGCCCGATAATTTATTACGACAGAAAAATTCAATTTTCGAACACAGATTTTAGCGCATTTAGTACCAAACCCAAGCGAAGCTTCTTTGCGCAGGTGTGGGACAAGCAGAGCGGGTTTAACTTTAGTTACCGTTTTGACAAGGGGTAAATATTTACCTACCCACATTCCAAGAAACCTTTTTCGAAACTTTGTCCTTTATTAGACGATAGACACACAATCCAATCAGTGAGGTGATCCGAAAGTTAACAACTTTTATTAAGCATGTTAATTAATCTGGTAGAAAGGTTTAAAATGTCTCAGACTTGAAATGCACTAAAAGTCGAATGTTTGTCCTGAACTTGGATCTCCGCAATACGCTACAAACTGGATAATCATAAATGATGTGAATTCAGCATAAATTACGATGAATTCACTTGAAGTACGGAGTATTTGAGCTATCACCATGCCTTAAGTAGAATGAATAGGTATACTATTTATATTACCTTTCCTAAAAGTCATGTTTATTGTAATTATAAATGTATTTTTACGTTATGTTTTAAGGGGCTAGATTTCGCAACTAGTAAGCACGTTCGTTCTGCAGTCATGAAAGTTAAGCAACTTTCGCAATGGCCAGCCTTAGGATGGGTGATATAAATTTTAGGTTGGTTTTGGAAGCCATTTTATGCCATTTGTTATCTGCAGTCGTTGGCACCCACCAACCGCCCGCGTTGTGATTCAGGGCCCAATCTTCCTATTCTATCCATATACACACAAACACAAGGCTTCCCTGTGCCCCAGAAGTGGCCCACGCTTGCTGGCCTACGTTGTTACCGACTTACTGTGGCCACTATTCCCATACGAACAAAGAAATTTGGTAACTTATTTCTTAGTTGTACTATTATCAAATGGAATATTCTTTGCCCGCGCACGTGTCCTTCCTATCCGTCCTTCCTATAATCTGGCTTCCTATTATCTGTATAAAAGAGGCGTGAAGAAGCATTTCTGCAAGCCGGCAAGGTGAGGATGGTTGGTGTGACAGTTTATAACTGCTGTACTAGCTATCTTCACGTCTGGACTTTGCCACCCTTTAACATCAGGAGGGGTAAAACCATTTTTCTACCTAGCTATAAAAAAAATAGGCCGGTGATAATCTAAGGTTCCATTTCAGTCCTTGTCAGTGCTGACGCTGACGTTCATCAGCGTGGACCGCTGGTACGCCATCTGCTTCCCACTCAAGTTCAAGTCCACGATTTCATGGCCCGGCCAAGACCACCATACTCGTCATTTAGGCTATATAATTGAATATCAATTATATAGCCCAAATGACGATCTGTATCTGTAGTCGTTGGCACCCACCAACTGGGAAGGCCTGTGCTCCAGCAGTGTGGGGATAATATCAGGCCGATGATAATCCAAGGTTCCATTCCAGTCGGTGTCGGTGACGGTGTCGGTGCTGACGCTGACGTTCATCAGCGTGGACCGCTGGTACGCCATCTGCTTCCCGCTCAAGTTCAAGTCCACCACCGGTCGGGCCAAAACAGCCATACTCGTCATTTGGGCTATATCATTACTATTCAGTAAGTTGCAATTTCTTTACATAAAAATCTTGTAATTTTTTAATATCTTAAAAGTTTGTTCTGTGATTCCAATAAGGTTTTATACTTTAATAATCATCGTTATTATTAACTTGAAAGAAAAACGTTGGAACCCTTTAGTACTAGAAAACTTATAAAGGTATTTGTATAAAATAAAAACTACATTTATCATACATCGTATTTGACATATACCATGAATAATGACTCTTTGGCAAAGGCTTCATAACAATCAATCCTTGATCCAAAATTATAGTTTTAAAGGTATTAAGTGCGAGATTTTCTTTAATGCACATTAATATAACGTCAATACGCTATATTCGCTATTCCAAGCCAATTTTGTTCATTCATACAAGTCGTATTATATCACGTGAACGTCAATGTATACTAATTATTTTAAAGATAAAGAGTTTGTTTGTTTGGTTTATCGCGCTAACCTCAGGAGTTACTGGTCCAATTAAAAAAAACTTTTAGTGTTGGATAGTGCATGTATCGAGGTCAGCTGTGTACTAAATAATATAACGCTACAACTAATGGGAGCTCCAACAATGAAAAATTTAGCAAAAACCGGAAAATATTGAATTTGTGAATTTCGGTTGCGTGCGCTGCGTAAACGGCAAAAGTTACACAAAAATGATGTACGACCGAATTGATTCCCTTTAAAAGTTCTATAAAAGGTCCGGAACAGAATAATGTTTATCTTTTAAGGGCGACCCAATATAACCGTTTTCTTCAAATTGATGCGGGTGAAACCGCAGGGCAGTTCTAGTTTATGTAATAATGAGAAATCAAGACAACGCCTCATACTTAATATGTAGGTTTTCTTAGGTCGTTAATTGTTTTAGTTAAATTTAAGGAAGCTTTTTGTATTTAGACGATAATTAAAAAAGAATTTAACATTTATGTTAGCTTTTTTGTTATTTGTGTCAAAAGAAACAGTTACGTTTTCATTTTGTGGGTACTAAATTTAATGAATAATATAATTTGTATTCAGAAACAGCTCCAGACTCTGACCTATATATTTGCGATTTTCGCAATAAATCTACCAAACTTAGTGTGAAATGTGATCCTATTATGCCAGTTTACCCAACTTTTTTATCTGTTTACCTCAGCAGTTTCAAAAGGGACACGAATAAATTGCTGGAAAGTCTGCTTGGCCTTTGAGCTTTTTGCGATAACGTAACAGATTAGATAGACCTTTTTATCGGGCTATATACCTAGTAAGAATAAAAATAATGATATTAAAAACACTAGAGATTCAGTTATTCTGACGGATGGCGAGGCTACTTTGAATTCTATTGTCTGTTTATAGGTCTGTTGACGACATCCGTGGCCGAGTGGTTTATATGCCGTGTTTTAAGGTGTCGCCTACTCGAAAGGTCCCGGGTTCGAATCCCATTCGGGTCATATGTTTGTGTAATGAATACGAGCATTTGTACTCCAGTCATGGATGTTTAATATGTATACATAAATATAAGAATAATGATAATTAAACTCTTTATTCCGAACTTTTCTTGAGCGGCGATGATGGCCTGGTGCCTATATTTAGTCAGGAACTCCGATATGGGTATACATGTACCTTTTGATTTTGATTTTGAGTATTACAATTTGTTATGGATATCAATATCTCGCAACTTTACCAGTTGTGGACGTGGCCGGTCACCATCAGTGGAACGTCTCGCGGCAGCGATTTATTTCCTTGGCCGTGAATGCAGATATTTTCAATTGACCTGTGACGGCTCCGGGCACAACATCTACTGCATCCTCTTCCGTGGACTCTGGCAAACCATGAAAAAGTAGAATCTTTCTGCAACTATGCATCTCCATGCCCACAAGTTACCTAACATACAGGTCTATTTGTTCCTGGAGACTGCGAAATGGATGACAAAACAAATAAAATCTAAAATAAACTAGCAACAGTGGATGATGGAGTAGCAGCCTTAAGCTCATTCTCTTAGCCATTCATGCGCTGAGTAAATAAACTCTGAAGTTACAATGAGGTATCTTGTATGGCATCCATTTGGTCGTTTGCAAAGAACAGTGAAGTGCAGTGTTATGGAACAGTAAAAGTATAAATAACACTCTCCAGTAGGTATCATGCAGTAACTATTAATTTAACATATAAATTATATATGTAAAATATGAAGTTTAATTACTTTATCCATTTTTAAACTGGATTTTAAAACGCAACCACTCTTTATATGTTCCTGCCTTTGAAAAAGGCTAGATGTACACATAAATACTTATACGTATTCTATCTGTTACCCTAGTATCCCATAACATAAGCCTACAGTGCTTACTTTGGACCTAGGCTAATTGGTGTGAGTGTTTGAAATATACATCAATTTAGGTCGTGTCATGAGTAATCCTCTTATAAAGGTTGTCTGATAATTTTATTCTATTTGTTTAGAGAATTTGACCTGATTCTACTACAATAAACCCACTTTATTATGTGTGTGAACACCGACACAATACATGATTAACTACTATAATACCTTTAGCACACTGAGGCAGCGAAACACAGTAGCGAAATTGCGATACTCAGTCGCGTACACACATTATGAATATTTTATCGCGAATATTGCATCTTGCTCTATTAGTCCCGGATCACAGGATCAATTTTTGCCATTTATTACTATTAAGCTGAAACTTCATGAGTAGCTTCATTTCGAAAAATCGCCCAACTTTTACTTTTATATCAATTTTCCGTAGCAGGTATAGAATAAGTGGATTTGATGATTTCAAGAGTTTTTTTTTTAAATCTTATAAAAATAACTTATTGAAAAAAACATATTTGTCCTACAAAATATAAAGTTTGCTCACAGAGTTGTTCCAACGTGTATCGATAACGTGGTCATCAAAAAACTTTTACTAAATAGCTGTTTTTTTTTTTTACTATTACTTAGTTAATATTTATACACCGTGAATTTTGAGTTACCCGAGAAAGTTAAAATCATTAAAAATATACATAGTTCTACTATACTTATACATAGTGCTACACCGCCATACAAAAATATAGATTTATATCGTTTACAAACTATTCTAAAACGGCGCAAATTTGTAAATAACATACCTATTATGGAACCATTTCAATCAATTTATAACAAATAAACTAGTTTAGGTTCCATAATTGCAGAAATAGTGAGTTAACGTGGAGACATTTTTCGAAAAAAATAATACTTATCGGTTTTTTTTGCAGAAATATAATGTAAATCGTTGTCTAAATTAGCGACTAAAGTTTCCCAGGTAACACGAAATTCACGGTGTATAATTCTACAGCCATAGTGTCCCACAAATTGCATGGTACGTTATCCCGGTCCTACGATAAAAAGTTGTAGTACCCTTAGCACGAACCAATATCGAATTTGAATAGTTTGCGAGTGCGAAACGTCACTTCATGTATTGGTATTGGTTCATGCTAAGGGTACTGAACCTGGTATAAAAATAATTCCTATTAAGCTGAATCTTTGTGAAAAGCTTCGTTTCGATGAAACTCCCAGAACTTTCCTATAAGCACGAAAATTTTCAAAAAATCTTAATCTTACTTAGGAACTATAGAAAGTGGAATTAAAATAAATCTTGTAAATTGGTAAAGGGTTAAAATGGAACGACTCGATTTTTTAGTTACTTACCAATTTTAAGAGCATAATTATCGCAATTCAAATAAAGTTGCCGTTGAGTATAGAAATTGATAATACCTACAATCTATTCAGGCAATATCAATCGGTCACAATTGGAGTATTTATTATTTGACACAAAGATGGATCACATAAACGTGGCTTAAAACCCTTTTAGGCCAAATATTTACTTTCCCTTTAACCCTTTTACAAAATGAACCCTTTCAGGGTTTGAGAGTAACTATTGTATATGAATTCTATAGACCGCCACTGAATGGGTTTTGTTAGTGAAATCAAAGATATTGTTTTAATCAATAAGTATTGATTGCTATTAAATAAGTCGTTAGAATATACCGCTGAACACACAAAAGGATTTATTTGGAAAAATTGGGATGGTGGCCACTCACCACCCCAAATTTTCAATCTTGATCAAATAGGCTTGATCAAACCTAATTGACCCAGTGTGGGGAGACATTTTGGAAGAAGATGCCTAAGTTTGGCACGATCAAGCTGATGGTAAGTGGTCACCACTAACAAGGTTAACTTTGACACTCTGAATAGATTCAGCTGTCTAAATCATCGAGGAGCTCCGTGGACTAGTAGCAGCATCTCTACTTTCGTGATGTATTAATCTCTGAGATCCTAAGATCTATTTTCGCCCCTTCTAATATAGAGAAAAGATTTGATGTAATTAATATTGAAACATATTATTACTCTCCCAATATTTAACAAGCAGTACCAGTCTCAGTCTGTTATCGTAATGTAAACTCTTGCTACAACTTCATAGCACACGTCATATCAACTCAGAAGAGGATCGATACCGGATACCGTGGTAGTCGCCTTTAAGCGTTCACTTAACGTTAGTATGTAACGTAAACGGATAAGCACCTCCATTCGGCTTGCCGACCGCTGGTTGACGGCTTTTTTCTTCCTAGTCGTGCACTCTTGACAGAGTGGTCGTGGTCATGTCTCGGTCAATTCCTGTGCCACTGATGCAATTGCGATGCGTCGCCATGCAGCTCGATGTTTTGCAGAGCGAGAACAATCATTTACGCTAGAGTGCGTCGCGTCGCCGATTTAATAAGGTCTGTCCACCTCGTCGGAGAGCGCCTGCGAGACCTTTTGCCCTCAACTTTCCCTTGCACCACCAACCGTTCCATGGAGTTCCCATTGCGAGTAATATGCCCGAAAATTTTGAGGATTCGTATTTGCACAGCCGATGATAATCTCTCTTTCATGTTGAGTTCCCTCAGGATTGAAACGTTGGTACGGTGCGCGGTCCACGGAATTCGTAGCAAACGTCTCCAACACCACATTTCCAGAGCCAATCTTGCGACGGTTTTTCATTTTGAGTGTCCACGTCTCAACTCCATATAGAAAGATTGGTTGACGGCTAGGCGGCACTAATTCGATTAGCACGGCAATGCAGGCTTCGCTACAGAGAGACGTAAGCTAGGCTACGGAGAGACAAAAGCTAGGCTACGCAGAGACGTAAGCTAGAGTACGGATAGTTGATCACTCACGTTCGGGAGCTTATCCCGAGGTAAAGCGATTACGTTACGATACCTATTAATGTGCCTTGCAATAGAAAATTTCATATAAGGAATACTGAACGGCTCTAGTTGATACGGTGACGATCCTTATCCGAGTTCATATGGCTGCTACGAACATTCGTATACAGTATTACTTACGTGTTGCCTACTCTGATTCCATCTTCATACTGTGAAGCTTCAGAACATTATTCACTGGAAGATTTTTTTCTTGTACACCAAAATGAAAAAAAACACTAAAGAACGTCCATGTGTTTCTAGAAAAATAAATATGTAAATATATTCTTCCCACAACAGATTCCCCGGAGCTGATAGTACTGGAAACGGTGCAAATGGTACCACTCCGTTTCAACCTGCAATACCTGGTGCAGTGCATGGCGACCTGGTCTCCCACCAGCGAGGTCATCTGGCACATCCTGAAGGTTCTGCTGATATATACGTACGTCACCTACTAAAAAGTTATTAAATTTTACGACATAATCAATACTTTTAATACTATAAATGCGAAAGTGAGTCTGCATGTCTGTGACCTCTTTACGCTTAAATCACTGAACCGATTTGAATTAAAATTAGGTTTATATTTTGAGTCCTGTGAAAGGCCATAGGATGATTTTTATCCTAGAAATCATCCTTTAAGGGGGTGAAAAGGGGAGCGGAAGTTCGTATGGGAAACCAAAATTTCAACGCAGATGAAGATTTCACTAGTATATATGTACAGATACCCCTTACGATCGACGAAGCTTGATCGTAGTGGGAGTAAATATTTATGCAAACGCTGTAGACTTTTTTATTCTTAAAAAATCTAACTAATGCACAAACAAATGGCTCATTTCAAGTTGGCTAAGGTTTGTCTGCTATGCTGCACGCAGATTTCTTTTGTGTAAGACTATGAAAGTGTACTTTAATTGACATAATCTATAACCCTTCTTTTTAACCCTCCTCCTCCTCAACAAATATGATGGTAAGCGACCACCATAGTCTATAGACGCTTGCGATACCAAAACTATCACTCGCACCGTTGTCATACCCAGATCAAATACCGTACCCCGCGGTAGCCTGGAACCTTACCGATAGAAACACAACACCACCAAAAGGTAATATTAATTTCATACACACTAAAGGTACTATTCCCTGCATCGCGATCGATCGCGGCCACGCGCGGCCTACGACTATCGTCAGTCGCTCACGACAATAGTCATAGTATGAAAATGTATGGCACCGCTTCCGAGGTCCGCACCAGACGCGCGCGGCCGACGACTGTCGTGAGTAGCGCGCGGCCGGCTAACGTGTTAATTAGGTGTTTACTAACATAGTAAATAATTTTATTACTAACAACAATGATTAATATCTTAATATATGTTAGACTATAAGATCTGTCGCCTGGTCATAAATTTAAAAAAAATATTTACTGTGATCTTCTGCAAGGTGGAAATTACTTGCCCCAGACAGGCGCTCCAATTAGTGCGGGTAATCCGCTTTACCCTACGAGTCTCTCTTCACTCACATTCACAGAAGACTAATATTTCAATTCATCATCAGGCTATTAATGTCCCCACTGCTAGGGCACAGACCTTCCCTATGGATGGAATAGGGAGATTGGGCCATGACCCACCACGCGGGCCCAGTGCTGATTGGTGGGTGCTAACAACTGCAGATGCAGTCGAGACCAACGGATTAACGTGCCTTCCGAAGCACGGAGGAGTTCGAGATAGTAAATTTTTGGTCACCCATCCAATGAACGACCATTGCAAAAGTTGCATAACTGCAACGATCGCAGCTGAACGCACTAACCACTTGCGCCATCGAGCTCATCATTATATTTCAATTACCTATACATTATTTAACCTACATATTACATTAAATGATTAAATTCTGGTGTTATAGTACTCTTCAATATTGAAGATACAGTTATTTTTTTTTCAGTACATGTAATTTGATATTACGTACCACTGTAAAGACAAATACTCTCCCCGTATTGGTCTTCTGAGATACAGACTGTGGCCTAGTTCAGATACAGTCTCTCCACAATCTTGTCATTAAGTCATTAATTAATTCATTAAGTTTGTATTTTTTTGTGCATGGGATTGTAAGGAGAAGAACTAAAGCAATATTATAATTTTTATTTATGCGATTGCCCTAACGCCTGAGCCTTTATTTTGTCCAATTTGCATTTCACAACCTCCGCTGATGAAATATGGCTGATGCGGGCGTAAAACGTGTCCCTACAACCACTCTCCCTTTGCTGGCCAAAGCAATATTCATAATTCTTTTGTGGCTCCATTAGAAATAGCCAGGAAATCGATTTTATATATGTTTTTGGCATAGTGTTAGATTGGACTTTATTCATACATCTTTGAGGTTAAAATTTAAAGTAAATGGGAAGAAAATGTGTATGGAGTTCTTTTTAAAGGGTGGCAAAAACGTAGGTATTTCGCCCGCTTGATTATAAACGACCAGCGTAGTTTATAGACGCTTGAAATACAGAATTATCACCCCATCACCCCTCGAACCTTAAGGGCATAACCAGAGTAGAAATATACTGTATAGTCCGGCCGCTCAGAGATTGCGTTTCTGACAGGTCGTTTCAGTTCCTGGTGATAGCATTAGAGTTAATTTTCGAACCTCTTTTTTATTAGATCTAAAGTGTACTTTATTCTGCCGCCATAAGGAACTGACACGACCTGTCAGAAACGCAATCTCTGAGCGGCCGGACTATAATCAGCGTGGCTTTCGCTATTCAGAAGGTGATTGGCGGTGGATACTTACTCGTTCAGTCAATAAAATCTGCAAGTAGACTTATATAAATAGACAGGGCAATGAAAAAATTATTTCTTAAGAATTGTATTATGCTTTGAATTGGGTACACTATTGTAAATTCGCGTGTTTTCCGAGCTCCAGGATCCAAGTGCTGCACCGGAATATCCGCATTACATTTATTAATTACAAAACTTCATCATTTATACTTTCTGTGATAATAGCTTTTAAAGATAGCAAATTTTGGAAGATTCACACATGTTACCTAAATTACCAACATATACACAACATTTAATAATTTACTCTTATTTTATTGTCTTCTCAAGGCGACATATCAGAGGCCCAAACACGAACTTTGACAGCTCCTAATCTTAACATTAATGTTTGTTGTTCATGGATTGTCTTTCGTTTTCCTTGTAAATGTGTTGTATTGTTACTTACTGATTGGATGAGATTCTGTTACTCAGTTAAATTTTTTTTTCACTGGTACAAGTTGCGTGTCTATAATTATGCACGTTAATTTTATGAGCATAATAGATAAATTCTTTACTTTTTGTTGTTATTATTGTTAAAGAACAATGCCCATTTTTGACCTGACCATGTATAGAGATGACATATACGTCAAGATAAAGCTAATTTAATTATAAGCCTATTACAATAATCAACGTGGTAAAAGAAACGCAGGAAAAAAAGTGTTTTTACTATTTTAATATGTTTACTGTATGTGTCAGTTACAGTTTCCGAACGCACTTCAACTATCTAGTTTTTGGTACGTGTTCCATTTTACACACTGCCACTTGACAAGAATATTTATTCAACTCTGTTTTTTATGCGTTTCAAACACTTTTACACTGTATTTTATGTGTGTGTAAACTCTTGCTACAGAATAATTTAAATTAATATTATTATCATTTCATAATATAATTGAACGATTTGTAAAACGGATTTCTTCGACATATGATAGAAATCAGAAATCAATATATCTTTATTCAAATTGGATGTATAGTGCAACACTTTTGAATCGTCCAAACATTTTTTTTCCCTACCACTCGTTATAGGACATATTTTTTAGCTGCGGAGAAAAACGAGCGAAAAAAACTCCACAACATTAAAAGCATAATGTAACAACATTTACAAATCATTATGTTGTTACAACGTCAATACAATCATGATTTATTTAATATAGAAAACCTGTTGGAATGATTGGAACAGTTCAAACCCAAGCATTTTTGTCTGTTTATATAATCAGACACTTTGTAATAAGCTTTTTTAATAAGTGCTTTTTTTATACTATCTTTGAATTTATTTATTCTTAGCTCTTGGATATTGCTTGGGACTTTAATGTATAAGCGAACACAAAGACCTTTAAATGAATGATTGATTTTGTGAAGCCTAGTAGCAGGTAAAGTTAGTTTATTTTTGTTTCTTGTATTAAGTGTGTGAACATCACTGTTTTTAAGAAACAAATTAATATTTTTTCTTACAAGTAATAAATTTTCGTATAGGTATGTATTGTTATTTGACAACCCGCTCACGCTCTGCACAGAGTTTGTTATTTAGAATGCTTTCGTATTTTGTTTAATATTAAATAAAATAATGTAGGATTCCTGTAAGATGAGTTTTCATGGAATCCATTTGATGTTGCTCAAAATAAATTGCTTATTTCAATCTTGAGAAAAAATACTTTTCACAGTTGTTGTTTGGTTATTCATATCCGTTTGGCAGGTAAGAACGTTATGTTCAATTTTCTTGTAAACATAAAGTTATCAATTTGTCATTTAACTTGACCAAAATATATTCTCTTTTTATATTATTTGTCGTGAATAAATTAATAAATTAAATAAAAACAAGCTAAAAAAATAACTCATATTTATTTAATTTTCCTACATTTAAATCGTAAAAACGATTATAGGATATTATTTTCTTAATTTATACGTAATCTTTCCAGTATTTTTTATATTTATACATTAACTTTCATTATCAGGTTTTCAAATGTATGGAAAGTGGGCATTGTTCTTTCTTCTATTGGGAAGGCAAAGAGCATAGCCTATACAGCCTCTCTTGCACAAAATACTTTTTCATCATAGAAAATAGCATAGATTATTCTTTCCTCAATGTAGGCGGAGGCGAAGGCAAGGTACACCTACACCCTTGCCTTGAGGTTTGTTATTTTTATATTATTTAATATAAAATCTCTTAAACTATTTTCAATAGTGTCTGGCATCCAAATGTTAGCAAGGGAACCAGATGAAAACCAACGTCAGTGCAACCTAACACAATGCTGAACTGGGTCCTTTTCGGTCCAGCTGTGGATACATGTTATATAATGTATGTTTTACGTTGTTTGTCATTTCGTGTTAAAACAATAAATATATATGTGTGTGTGTATAAAAGTTTAAACATTTGTCTGTGTCCAGGACTGTTCCGTTTTTTTTTTATTTGATTTGATTTTGTATCGCATCGTCAAAGTTTCTATGAAAACTATCCTGCGCCACTACCGAACATAAGAACAACTTAAAACATAGAAACATATTTTGCATAACAAAATTTGACGATGACGATGCGATTACGGAGCTGCCAAAGTTCGTAATTAGGTCTCTGCTATGCTTTATGTAAAGTGGTCTCACTTACAAAATGTTTTCTTCTACGAGAAGTAGCTAGTTGATATTTTTGGATATTTAACATAATTATTTTGTTAATACGAATAGGTATTTGTTTTAAGACGAAATGATCGAATGAGCGAAAATAAAATCTGGTGCGCACGTGTGCCGCAAACTGTGCTGCTACTTCGGCACGAAACCAACGATTCGTCGATAATGACGGAAACATTATTTGCAAAACATTGGAAAAATGTTAAGCCAATTTATTAGAAGGTACGTGGGTACAGAGATGTAAACATAATGGTCATTGACATGGTTATAAACAGTTAAGTAGGTATCTCCGAAAAATCGATCTGCATGGCTTGGACATTTGAGTCGCCCAAAGCAAAGTCTTTGGGTCGTTTCTTTATTCATCATATTTTCTCCATTTATGGTCTAAAAAGATTTCATATTTGATTACGCATATACTCCTTTGCACACACTTATACACTCAAATTCACACATACATACCCCATACGTTATTCTCACCCTTACAAAAGAATGCAACCAAAGTAAATCTGCTTTCATGGCGTCAAAAATGGAGGGGGGGGGGGGTGTTAAAGTTAAGCCATCTACCGAACTGCACTCCTGTTAGCGAAGAGTAATTCACTGAGCCTTGTATACAAAGCAACACCCCCAACACAACACCAGTCTGTATTAAGTACAAAATTAAAAAAAAAACGAAATCTTCAAGTTTGCGGCGTCTTCTTCATCGTCGTTTCCTCATGGCTGAGGGTCGTGACCTTTCAGGACAGCACATTTCACCAACGATCTCCAGACCGTTCTGTGTTCTGCAAGGCGGATGGACGCCTGCAAGTTGCCATTCGTGGTTTCTTTAACTATGTCCAACCACCGGGATGGAGACCTGCCCCTACTCCTCTTGCCTTCCACGTTACCAACGACCAAAAGCTTTTCAAAATTATCCGGGCTTCTCCTTGCTACGTGACCGAAGTATTTTAGGAGGCGCTGCATGCAGACAGAAGAGAGACGCGTCTTGATACCCAGCTCCTTCAAGATAGATGCATTAGTTCTTCGTGCGGTCCAAGGTATGTGTAGCATTCTGCGCCAACACCACATTTCAAATGCATCAATCCTGGAACGGACGCGTGCTTTCAACGTCCAGGTTTCGGAAGCGTACAAGAAAATCGAGAAGACCAGGGCTCGCATCAGCCGCACTTTAGTGGATTTAGTAATTCCTCTGTTCTTCCAGATCCTCTCCAATCGCTTCACGGCCGCCTTTGCCATCTGTCCGCGTCTGACCACCTCCGCCTCGCAGTCCCCGTCATTGCGTATAAGTGATCCCAGGTATACAAAACTGGTAACTGTGTCTAAATCACTCAGCTCAAATGTTCTTACCAACTTGTCAGCTCTATCGACAAACATAAGCTTGGTTTTATCACGGTTTATACAAAGGCCATATTCCACGCTGACGTCTTGAACCTTGCGCAGTAGGAAAGCCAGTTCTCGTTCATCGGCTCCTATTATGGTCGTGTCATCGGCGAAACGTAAGTTATTGATAAGTTGGCCCCCCTATTCGAATACCACCCTTCCAGTCCTCGAGTACTCTGCGCATTATGTGCTCACCAACTAGGTTGAACAACTGGGGTGATAGTATGCATCCCTGACGTACACCACGAGCTGGCTTAAAGGAGTCGGAGACATAACCATCCATTCTCACCCTGCTCCTGCCAGTAAGGTATAAATTCTGCACCAAGGAGACCAGATGCCTAGGCACACCCATCTCCACCATCACCGCAAACATTTTGGCCCAATTTACACAATCAAAGGCTTTTGCGTAATCAATGAAGCATAACACCATTGGAACGTTGAATTCACGGCTTTTTTCGATTAGCTGTCTGATATTTAATATTTGTTCGCGAGTACCCTTGCCCTTGACGAATCCAGCCTGTTCTCTTGCTATTTGCCTACCGATATAACGTTCCAGCCGTTTGTTGAGGATATGTAGCAACACTTTACTGGCGTGGGGAATCAGTGAAATGGTCCGGTAATTTGTACATTTGCGGGTGGATCCTTTCTTGTGCAGCGGAATAACTATAGATTCTGTCCAATCCTCAGGCCAATGTCCGGTATCCCACACTTTTTGGCATATCGTGTGTAATGTTTTGATGCCATCTGTACCTAGGCGCTTGATCATTTGCGCGGTGATTCCGTCGCCACCACACGCTTTCAGTTTCAGCTTGTCAATTGCATTTTCCACTTCGCGCAACATTATATTGGGTTCCCTGTCAGCATCGTTATAGACCACCTCGTCTTGATCTTTGGAATCGTCGCTGTACAACGTTTGGCAGTAGCTCCTCCATCTTTCAAGCATTGCTTGTCTGTCTATTAGTGGGGCTCCTTCAGCATCTTCAATAGTCCAAGATTGAGGTTTGGATTCCTTTGTAAGCAACTTGATCTTGCGAAACATGTCACCCGCGTGCAATGTGTTAGATTCCTTCTCAATCTCGTCGCACAATCGGTTTAAAAACGCATCTTTATCCTTTCTGCACAGTTTTTGAACCTTTGCATGGAGCATTAAGTATTGTTCACGTGTGGCATCATTTGTTAAGCCTGATTCTTTTACTGACCTTCTTTCCATCACCGCTTCCCAAGTCGTATCAGTCATCCATTCAGCTTTTGGTCGATCACGACTGGAAGCTAAAACTGCTTCTTTAGCTATCTCCAAGACTGTGTTTTTAAAATCACCCCATGCATCATTAGCCGAAATAAAAGGGTTATTCTTAGAACAAGGAGGTCTGCTTTCTACAAGTTCCTGGAATTTCGCTAAGGCAGTGTGATCAAGCTTAATTGGCTTTTGGGTAGGGAAATTCTTAAACGACTTCAGGCGAATTTTAACCTTTGCATGTAGCAGTTGATGGTCGCTACCACAGTCAGCTCCAGGTCGTGTTTTAACGCTTTGGACAGAAGATCTCCACCTTTTACCCATTAGTACATAATCAATCTGGTTCTTGTAGTTACCGTCTGGTGATGTCCAAGCATATAATCGTCTGACATGTTGTTGGAACCAAGTATTCATTATCGTAAAACCGTTCTCAGCGCAGAAATCCAGTAATAGCTGCCCACGTTCGTTCCTTTGCCCCATGCCGTATCGGCCCACAACATCCCTTAGGTGATCATCCATCGATGTATCGCCAACCTTTGCATTTAGGTCACCCATGAGAACAGTGGGTTCCTTACTGGGAATAGAATTATATACAGTTGATAGATCCGCGTAAAAGTTGCAAATTTCATCGTCCGAAGATTTGGATGTTGGCGCGTAAACCTGAATAAGATTGAGAGGATATGGATGTGCCGCAAGTTTTAATCTAACTATCCTGTTGTTGACCGCATCGTAGCCTAAGATTTTGTCTTTAATTTTCTTAGAGACCAGAAACCCTACCCCTCTAAATCTGTTGTCAGTGCTACCAGAATTAATCCTCAGTTTGCCGCTGGCAGTTAGGGTGTGTCCACTGTCCTTAAGGTGAGTTTCACTGATACCTAACACATCCAGACCGTATCTGTCCATCTCTCGCTCTAGGATCTCCACTTTCCCTGGTTGAATCAAAGTACGAACATTCCACGTGCCTATGTTGAGTAGCTGGTTTCTACGGATATGTCCTGATGTCGATTGACCAACAGTGGTCCATTTTCTACCTGCAGCCTGTTGTCTCACTGCAACGTAGCCGGTAGCCAATTTCACACCAGGAGACCCGGACTCAGCCTGGCGCCGGTCGTCAGCCGGATGGCATGACATATCCTTCTTTGTGTGTTTGTCCTTCATAGTTTTCTTGGGAGTGTAGTTGCGGTAGATTCCCCTTCCTTTCCGCACCAGTCTTTTTGGGGTTATTTAGCTCCCATGGCCACTGTAGCCACCCTGTTTTCACAGGGGGGTCGGGTTATTTACCGCCGCCCGATACTCGGCGTTGTCAACGTTTAGCACCACCCAGGGGGCACGTACAGCGCTGTTAAAGGTGTTACCTGCGGACGCGATGACACCACCCCCCTAAGTTTGCGGCGTACGAGTGGGAAACGTCAATGTGACGTCACGGACGGATGACTAATTTGGTGCAAACTATTAACAAACGACGTTTGGGAGCATGTCACACGCTTACGCCCTTGTGCGATTTCTAGTGCTCGGGGTGCTTTGTAGATAGAAAAGAGTCCAGCTGGACATACCTTACTAATTCCTTTTGCTTTGTTCCAGGATACCACTGCTTCTCATGACGATAGCATACCACCAGATCGTGAGGGTTCTATGGAAGAACGAGAAGATACCCGGTCAAGCAGAGACAGTCAAGTTGGCGTCGGCTGAACAAAGTGAGTTTAATTTAAGGTTCTAAACTATTCCTAAACCTGTTTTAGGTAGGCGCAGTGGTCAGACTAACAGAGACCATCATCATCAGCCTATCAATGTCCCCCTGCTGGAGCATAGGCCTTTCCTATAAATGGAATAGGGAGAATGGGCCATAGCCCACCACGCGGAACCCAGTGCGGATTGGTGAGGACCAACGGCTTAAAGCACGGAGGAGCTCTCTATAGTAAATTTTTCACCCACCCGATGATAGACCACTGCAAGAGTTCCTTAACTCTCCAGCGATCGCGCTGAAGCGTTAAAAATTTGCGCCATCGAGCTCCTCAAGAGACTTACTTGCCATTATTTCATCGCGTTCTGAACTAAATTGAAGTTGAACATCCCTTGGGCTTGTATTGGAAGAGTTATGAATGCAGAACATGTAAATTTTCTCTGCCTATCTCAATCGGGACATGTTGTCCACCTAGTGAAGTGTATTTGTGTGTGTTCCCTGCACATGAACACATACACTTCTCTTAGCTTCTTTTGTACAGAAATCATTTATTTCTATGGTTGATTTAATAAAAAGTATATATTTTGAACACACGCAAACAACCAAGTTAATAAATAAAGCATTGAACCTTTGATTTCTCAGGGAGTGCAGGCGCTAGCCAAATTTAATTATTTCTAGAATCCCATACCCAAAGGGTAAAAGCGGGACCCTTTTACTAAAACCCCAATGCCTGGGACCATACTATGTCTCAACCGTGATAACTAGACAGTTGAAATTTTTGCACAGATAACGTATTTCTGAGGAGCGGAGGAGTGAGTTTATCTTCTGAGGAACTCGATGGCGCAGGTGGTTAGCTCGTTCGGCTGCGATCGTTAAAGTTTAAGCAACTTTCGCAGTGGTCGGTCATTGGATGGGTGATCAAAAATCATCAATCTCGAGTTCCTCCGTGCTTCGTAAGGCAGGTTAAGCCGTTGGTCCCGGCTGCATCTGCACTCGTTAGCACCCGCTAATTGGCACTGGGCCCGCGTGGTGGGTCATGGCCCAATCTCCTTATTCCATCCATAGGGAAGGCCTGTGCCCCAGCGTTGGGGACATTAATAGGCTGATAATGATGATGATCATAAACGTATTTCTGTTGCCCTATAAATTGCTAAAAGCTATACTACCCTTTAATATTTATTTTCATATACAATAGACGTAGCTTTTCCCCGTTTTTGCTCGAAATTATAATATAGTGGCTAATGTTGTACATACAATGGTACGGAACCCTTCGCGCGCGATCCGACACGCACTTGGCCGGTTCTCCTTTATAATTTCAACTCAAGCATATGCTGTCAATTTCACGATAGCAATCTAATAACACATTTGGTGACTTGAAAAGCGTAAATGTCTAAATCCTTGATAGCAAAACAAAGACTTGTTGTTTTGCTATCATGTTACGTAAGTAAACCCAACTTAAAAGGTTTGCGTGGATAAGAAAACCGATCTGTTAACAGTGTAGATAGACAATTGGTTTAGCCAACACAACCTCGGAAAGGGCCACGACGTAAGTAGGTTATACTACTTATCTGAATTGGTTGTATCGTTCTTCCTGTACTTGTGTATAGGTAAGGCTGTTGTCTCACCGCCGGCGACGGAGCGACTAACTCCCGGCTATTTTCTCACACAAAAAACGTACAGTAGATATAGGTACATTCCGGGTATTATCGAATAAGTGGACGGGCAAATAAAAGCGAGCCTTGCAAGTAGAAATAAAATATAATACGAACAAGGCTCGCTTTTATTTGCCCGTCCACTTATTCGATAATATTTTTGGTCCTTCGATCCGGCTCGAAGGACCAAAAATATTATCGAATAAGTGGACGAGCAAATAAAAGCGAGCCTTGCAAGTAGAAATAAAATATAATACGAACAATAACAAGAACAACCAGAATGACAAGCATGACAAGCAAAAGCAAAAAATGAAAAAACTAGTAATAAAAAGGATGACAAAAAGATTATAATTAAAATGACTATGATTAACCAGCCAGTCGCCAACACCGGGTAAATAAAAGAGATGCATATAATAAATAGTTCATCGTTGACTGTTTACACTGCCAGCGAGAACTCGCTCCATTAGTTAACCGCTCAACGAAAAGAGCTATCAATCATAATACTCGATCAGACTCGATTTGACGACCTCCGTGGCCGAGTGTTTTGTACGCCGGGTTTCAAGGTGTCGCCGACACGAAAGGTCCCGGATTCAAATTCCGGTGGGGGTAGATAGATGTTTGTGTGATGAATACAAGAATTTGTACTCCAGTCATGGATGTTAATATGTATTTCTATAAAAAATATACTTATATATGTACAGTATAATGTATTCTATCCGTTACCCTAATATCCCATAACACAAGCCTTATAGTGGTTACTTTGAGGCTAGGCTAATTAGTGTGAGTGTTGGAAATATTTATTTATTTTATTTATTATCAGCGATGCTCGCATGGCCGTCAAAACGCGTGCGTGTTAATTTCACTCAGGACTCATCGCCGCGAGTGACGGGGATTCGACCGTTCTACTCGCACACTCGCTTATAGCTTAGCGATAAAACTATCAGAACTACGTACACATTCGCTTCCTGCTGCTCGCCAACTCGTTCAACTCGTTTCTAGCTCCAGTGGCGGGGCAAGACCTAAATATGATGTGGGCAAGACAGATTTCGCGATTCCCTGTTCTGGGGCGACCTGAAGACGGATTTTATAAAATAATAAAAAAAAGGAAAACAATTAACACTGCCAAGCTTTTATTCATAAAAATACAAATTAGATTAATATTAATGAAAAATCACAAATCGTAAATATATAGGTGGAGATGACAATACCAATAAATTAAATATCGGCTTTCAAAGGATGCTTCCAGTCCAAAAAACAAATTAATTTATATCTTTTTTTTATTTTATTCTCGCTTTTAAGCAGTGCATAAAAATTTTTGAGGCTCGAGGCCCCTTGTGCCGCGAGGCCATAGGCGGTGGCCCACGTCGCCCACGCCTTACGCCGCCTCTGTCTAGCTCCACTCGCTACTCGTTCATCGTAGGCAGTGGAACAAGTGCCTAAACTTGTTTGTTTCTCCACTACCCCGGAAAGGCCGAAGCCATTATTTACATACACCCTGCTTAAGCTTCGCACTCACCACTTGTTTGCTTAGGTAATTCATTAACTCTTAAAAGATGAACTTTGTTATCACTCAATGGAACCACAAATTTTCAATTAACGATCATTAGTCAACACTTAAACCAAACAATTGAATCGGTTTTTTATGTTAAAAGGTTGGCAAACAAGCATAATATGGCCTATAAGTGGCCATCATAGCCTAATTTTTATTATATTATATAAGAGTTTTTTTGTTTCAAACACAAAATAAAATATTTTTATATGGAGATTTCTAGGAACAGATCAACGCTAAAGAAAGAAAGAAATTGTATTTATTGGCAAATATCTAATATATAAAATTCTCGTGTCGCGGTGTTTGTGGTTAAACTCCTCCGAAACGGCTTTCCCGATTCTCATGAAATTTTGTGTGCATATTGGGTAGGTCTGAGAATCGGACAACATCTATTTTTCATCCCCCTAAATGTTAAGGGTCATCCACACCTAATTTTTTTTTTTAATTTTAGATATATTTTTTTATTTTTTTTATGATACATCATACAAAAATACATACAACCCTAAATTTTCACTTTTCTACCACCAACCCCTATTTTTTATGGCGGTACGAAGTTTGCTGGGTCAGCTAGTACTGTATAAAAAAGAAATGATCAAAAAGTAATAATATTAAAACAAAACACAAAGGCGAAAGAAAAATGGCCTATCAGGACTCTGCCTCAGCTTAGGCCTGTATTAGAGAAAGATTCTCATATCGCTATGTGCTATATATAGCGACATCCCTTTCTAACTGTATTCAAGTAAAGATCAGCACTTAGTTGTCATTCTGTAATACGGGCCTTAGTGCTGTTATCGTGGGAACGAATATTCCCACCATAACAGCGCTAAATGCAGTATGTCGCGTTTTAATGCCTTTCTTTGTAACAAAATAGCGGTATCTCACAAAATATGTATAATGGTACAGTATATGCTTAATTTCTATTTTGTTAAATTTAAATCAGTGCATCTATACCGTTGGAACCTGCTTTATTTATTGAGTGGTGTGCGTGAAAACTTAAGAAACAATATGTCAATAAACAGTATGTTGAAAACAAAAACAAAACAGTTTTAACATTTTTTCAACGAAAGTTTTAACATTTTTTCAACGAAAGTTTTAACATTTTTTCAACGAAAGTTTTAACTTTTTTTGTTTTTAAAGGTGCGAAATCACAATTTACAAAAAGTCGATTTTCTCGAAACTAACACTGATTGGGATACCAGTTTCTGCTTATCAGGGCAGTATAGGTTATGGTAGCCGCTTACCACCAGGCGGGTCACACGCTTGTTTGAACATAAAAAAGCAATAGAATTAGACATTAGATCATTTTAATAGCCATTCAATACGACAGTAAATAGTATATATTTATCAGGCAAAACTTAAGTTTACATGTGTTTTGAATGTTTTAACATTGAAAACTTAAGAAACAATATGTCAATAAATATTATGTTGAAAACAACATAAAAGAGTTTTAACATTTTTTTTACTTTCTGTTTTTCTCAAAACTAACCCTGATTGGGATACCGGTTTCCTGCTTATCAGGGCAGTATAGGCTATGGTGGCCGTTTACCACCAGGCAAGTACACGCTTGTTTGAGCATAAAAAAATCAATAGAATTAGACATTAGGTCACTTGAATAGCCATTCAATACGACAGTAAATAGTTAATAGTATATATTTATTAGGCAAAACTTAAGTTTACATGTGTTTTGAATGTTAAACCTTACCGATAACCCGGGAGAACCCGAACTCGGGAGAATCCCGAGTTTACGTTATCGAATTAAAGTAGCTTCGATCTCTCGTTTTCTACCACTTAGTCGTAAAATAAATTTTAACA